ATTTTATGATCCGACCCACATCAATTACCATGTCTAAAAATACTATCCCTGAAACACTTCCCTTGTCTTTCTCCAGTTTTCCATTGTACAGACTGTCATGTTTCATTTCTCCATTCTGCATTTTCCAGCTCTTGTTGAAACACCTCACTCCCACTCATCAAGTACTAGCCTAGATTAGCAGCCAATAAGAATATGCCATCATATTCCTCTACGGTAATAGAACTCTCAAGATTCCTCCATGTGTTAACAAATTATAATGGAATTCTAGACCCTCCAAATAAGGCCCCAGTGCCATTCCAACTGTATGTGACCTTACATACCCCTGGGCTCTAGCCAAAGTTGAAAGATAATTGCAGAATTTGGAGTTTAATACTCTGCTGCCACTTCATTGCTTATGAGCTCAGATAATTCCTAATTTGCAAAATTACTACTGAAATAGTTCGCACCTTCTAAGATTATTGTAAGGATAAACTGACAATGCAGGTTAATCTGAGTGACTCTCATTAAATAAGTATTTGATTTTGTTTTCTTATTTTAAAAAATCCTATGGTAAACACTAGAAGACAAATGTCTTGAATATAAATCAAAATCTGTCTACTTCCTTACATATTTTTATTCAATGATCAAAAAACTTTTACCCAGGAGCTAGCAGTTAGCGTAATGGCTATGTCACTGAACTCCCATGTAGCTGACCACGGTTCGAGTCCCGGATCTGGTGGCTTAAACTCACATTGGGAACCTGTGCGTGCGTGCCCAAGATCTCAAGAGGAGGAGAAGGGATTGTGGCATAGCCATCCTCCCTAGGGGGTGAGTTCTCACTTTCTATCTCTCTGTCTCTCTCTACTGGCTAGCACATGCACCCTATAGCAAAAACCTCTCAAAAAAAAAATTATATCCAAACTAGTCGTAAACCTTATCATGTCATTAACAATGGGCTAAATAAAATCTTGAATTCATTTAGTTAAAGAAACTTACACTAGAGCTCATCTAGTTAGGTTATACTTTATAACAGAGAATTTCAATAATAAACACTTTGTATTAAGATATCATTTACTATTGTTTTATGAGACCATCAAAAGTTTATTTGATATTAAATACTTAGGTGAGAGTTTTGTCACTATACTAAAATAACTTAAAAATTAAAAATAACTGAATAATTCTATGTAAAATATTTGGAAAAAAGCTTTACTTGTAGATACTGAGAGTTTTTATATAAATCATACTTTTAAGGGTTTTTGTTTGTTTGTTTGCTATTGGGCACATGCACTCATAAGAGGAGAGAGAGAAAAAGTGAGGAATGATCACCTGGGGAAATGACCACACTGCAAATCCCTTCTCCACTATTCTGTTCTCTGGATTTGGGGCACACATTGCACATATGCCCAGCATGTTTCACGAGCCACCAGGTCTTAGGACTTGAACTACACAACTGGCCATGTGGAATCCATCCACCTTGATCATGCCACCTGCTGGCCCACATAATATATTTTTTAAAAAAAATCTATTAGCATTGTTTTAATATTACACTTACAAAAAAAAAAAAAAAGCCAAAAGTGAAATGTCTCATTTAACCACATATTTCTTCAGGTATAAATTATTAGTTCTATTTTATAGATGAAAAAAATAAGACCTGAAGTGTTTATGGGATTTGCCCAAGACCAGACAATCCAGATGGCAGAGTTACTATTTAACCCACCACACAGCCCATAGCGCATATTCCTCATCTTCACTTGAGCCTCTCTAATATTCTACTAATTCGAACATAGTTATTCCTCTGACACACAGGACATTAGAATTGGAATCTGCCACTCACTGAGAGTGGGAATCTGGATACATTAACTAGAACACTGAGCCTCAAATTCCTCTATATAAAGAGAAGATAATAACCTTGCACTTCTTAAGTTAGATATAATTGTAATAGTTGTTCCTATTATTCATGAGCACAGAAATTTTAAATATAGTTTAAAATATATAAGGGTACTAACTAAAACCTACATTTACTAGATTCAAGGTCAGATAGCCATTGTGGTAACTGATGGCATGACTTACTAAGCTAAACAAATCCTGTCCAAAATAAAAGCTCCTAGTAATAGAATGCTTATATATATATATATATATATGTAAATTGAGATATAACATGAGATAATAAATATAT